ACAGAAATGTTGAAAAAGTGTTGGGTTTCCTACGAATCCGCAAGAGCGCGCGGGATGAGATTTTGACATTTTTTGTTGAAAAACCATTGGTTTTTTGATGTTTTTATGTTAAAATCGCTCCGAACACTAAGCTTTTGGAAGGATTTCGTCTTGCGCGCGCGAATGTCCACTTTACCTTATTTTTTGCAAGGGATTCTTGAAATTTGATTATATTAGAACAAGAAATGTCATTTTATAGTGTTTTTTGCAAGGGAAAGCGGGGGGGAACAAAACAACCGGATCTTGATCACATCGAATTACCTGAGGCTTCCTCACGAAAATGATGAAAATGTAGCTGCGGCCTAGGCGGCGCAGGGGGGCCGTGCACCAGGGGTCCCAACAATAATTATTCTTTAGAATTAATAATGTTCAACGACCACACCAACACCAACAACAACACCACCAACAACAACCACTTCAACAACAACAACAACAACAACAACAACAACACCAACACCAACAACAACAACAACAACCACACCAACAACAACAACAACAACAACAACCACACCAACAACAACAACAACAACAACAACAACAACAACAACAACAACTCTTCGGCCCTCGAGCGGGCGGGGCGACCTGGGCACCCCAAGCATGGGGGGCAACGACAGGAGGGGACGCGCACAAGGGGGTGGAGGGAGGGGGGAGGGCTTCTTAGAATGGAGGCTGCTTCTCTAGAAGGCGCCGGCCTTACATCTACAGACAAGGCCCGCGCCTTCTAAGAAGCAGGGGTGTTTCTTAGAAGCCCTCCCCCCTCCCCCCACCCCCCTCTGCGCGTGGCTGAGATAGGGGGGGACTGGAAGAAGGGGTAGAATTCGTCGACAAGGAGTCGGCGATACATCGCCGATAAATCGGCGCGTTTGGCCCTGGATAGCAAGCCCGAACCTTCCCGGGCAGGCTGGGGCTATCGGGCCCCCATCGGCGATCAAAGGGCGACTGGGGGTCCATTCATCCCCCCCTATTTGAGCAGGGACCGACTGTCCCGGCATTCCTATAGTCCTACCACGAAATGTTCTTAGAACCCAAACATGTTCTGAGAACAAAAACAATGTTCTTAGAACATAAGCCCGATGTGATAACATCGTCCTGGCGACGGACCCAACCATGTGCAGTTGGGTACCGCAATTGCGAATAGTTCTTCGGTGTAGCTCCCAATGGGGCCACGAAGCGCTGCACTGGGTGGGGGGGAACGCATGCGGGCGGTAGAACTGGGGCCGTCGAGCGAACTCCTTATGGGGCCACGAAAAGCCGTACTGGGCGGAGTAAAAATGCCAAATTTGGTGTGGGACGCATGCGGGCGGTCCCTCTGGTGGTTTCGGTGGAGCTCCCTCTGGGGCCACGAAACGTATGAGGGGTGTGCCACATTTGGTTTCCAGGACGCATGCGGACGGTCCCACTGGTGGCTTCGGTGGAGCTCCCTATGGGGCCACGAACCGCTGCACTGGGTGGGGGGGAGCGCATGCGGGCGGTAGAACTGGGGCCGTCTGGCGAACTCCCTATGGGGCCATGTGGCCACGAAGCGCCGTACTGGGTGGGGAGAAACTGCAAACCTGGTGTGTGGGACGCACGCGGGCGGTCCCAGTGGCTTCGGTGGAGCTCCCTATGGGGCCACGAAACGTATGAGGGGTGTGTCAAATCCCACCAGCCCTCTGGGCGTCGGTGGTTTAGAGCGTTTCCTCTTCCACCCCTCCTTCTTCCCCTGCGGGGAGGGGTTTACCCCTCCCCCTACCCCCTCCCCACTGACCTGGACAGGGGGGGCCGCGGGTAGTTAGAGCGTCCAAGATCGACTCCTGGGAAGGCTAAAATTCGACACCCCTCACAAGGATCGTGGCTCCTGAGGGGGGGGGGCTGTAATTAGGGAACCCCCCTTCGTTGATCGATCTCCTCCAAGATTGTTCCAAAAGACGTCTTGGACCCCTCTTGGGCTCTGCGCGCGGGCGGGCGGAGCGCCGCCCGCCCGCCCGCAAGGCCCAAGAGCCCACCAAAACGTTCGAAGACACCTCCAATACGCCACCAGGGAGGAGGAAGAGGCGGAGGAGGAGGAGGAGGAGGAGGAGGAGGAGGAGGAGGAGAAGGAGGAGGAGAGGGAGGAGGAGGAGAGGAGGAGGAGCAGGCGGATGAGAAGGAGGAAGAGGGGAGGAGAACAGCTGCCGATCATCGGCGCTCTTCGTTCGAGTGCCTGGTGTAGGATGGGCTGATGGGGATACGCGAAGCGTCAAGAATTTGGTTTCCGGGACGCACGCGGACGGTCCCAGCGGGGGCTTTGGCGGAGCTCCCTATGGGGCCACGAAGCGTTGCACTGGGTGGGCGAAAATGCCAAATTGGGCTTCCGAGACGCATGCGGACGGTCCCACTGGGGGGTTCGGTGGAGCTCTCTACGGGGTCACGAAACGCCGTAGGGGGTGGTGTGAAAATACCCAAATTGTGTTTCAGGGACGCACGCGGACAGTCCCACTGGGCTGGTGGCTTCGGTGGGACTCTGGGGCCACGAAACGCCGTACTGGGTGGAGTGAAAATGCCAAATTAAATTTCCGGGATGCATGCGGACAGTCCAAGGGGCTTCGGTAGGGCTCCCTAGGGGGCCACGAAGCGCTGTCCGGGGGGGGGGGGGGGGGACGAATTGCAGACGGTAGCACTGGGACCTTCGGTGGGGCACCCTATGGGGCAACGAAACGTTGTACTGGGTGTGGTGGACGCATGCGGACGGTAGCACTGGGACCTTTGGCGGGGCTCCCTGCGGGGCCACGGAACGCTGTACTGGGCGTGGAAGACGCATGCGGACGGTAGCACTGGGACCTTCGGTGGGGCTCCCTATGGGGCCACGAAGCCACGAAACGCTGTACTGGGTGGGGCGGGGCGCATGCGGACGGTAGCACTGGGACCTTCGGTGGGGTTCCCTGTGGGGCCACGAAACGAAGTACTGGGTGGGGGGGACGCATGCGGACGGTAGCACTGGGACCTTCGGGGGCTCCCATGGGGCCACGAAACGCTGTACTGGTGGGTGGGGGGACGCATGCGGACGGTAGCACTGGGACCTTCGGTGGGGCTCCCTGTGGGGCCACGAAACGCTGTATTGGGTGGGGGGACGCATGCGGACGGTGGCATTGGGTCCTTCGGCGGGGCTCCCTACGGGGCCACGAAAAACGCTGTACTGGGTGGGGGGGCGCATGCGGACGGTAGCACTGGGACCTTCGGTGGGGCTCCCCATGGGGCTACGAAGCGGTGTGCTGGGTGGGGGGGACGCATGCGAACGGTAGCACTGGGACCTTCGGCGGGGCTCCCTGCGGGGCCACGGAACGCTGTATTTGGGTAGGGGGGAAGCATGCGGACGGTGGCATTGGGTCCTTCGGTGGGGCTCCCTACGGGGCCACGAAACGCTGTACTGGGTGGGGGGGAAGCATGCGGACGGTAGCACTGGGACCTTCGGCGGGGCTCCCTATGGGGCCACGAAACGCTGTACTGGGTGGGGGGGGACGCATGCGGACGGTAGCACTGGGACCTTCGGTGGGGCTCCCTATGGGGCCACGAAACGCTGTACTGGGTGGGGGGGACGCATGCGGACGGTAGCACTGGGACCTTCGGTGGGGCTCCCTATGGGGCCACGAGACGTGTGAGGGGTATGCTGAAAAGGGTGATGATGGTAATGATGATGGTGATGATGATGATGATGATGATGTTGATGATGGTGATGATGATGGTGATGGTGATGATGATGGTGATGGAGGAGGGAGAAGGGGGAGGAGAGGAGAGGAGAGGAGAGGAGGAGGACCGCGGGGCGACGTCTCTTCAAAACAAGGACCCAACACCACAGGATGGTTGGGAACAAGACAATGTCAACCAGAAATGTTCTAAGAACATTTCGTGGGAACCACAAAAGATTGTTAGAACACTGCTTGGTAGGGCTATAGGCGAGACAGGGCGCTTCGCCACTGCTTGACCTATGCCTATCCCCCCTCGATCGTTGCCCCTGAAGCACAAGAGGCGCCAACGAGGCGCACGCGGGCGGGCACCGCGCGAGAAACCTCGGCCGACCCTGCCCGGCGCGCGAGGCGCCCACGAGGCGCCCACCAGGAGGAGTAGGAGGAAAAGGAGGAGGAGGAGGAAGAAGAAGAGGTGGAGGGGGAGGAGGGGGAGGAGGAGGAGGAGGAGGAGGAGGAGGAGGAGGAGGAGGAGGAGGAGGAGGAGGAGGAGGAGGAGGAGGAGGAGGAGAGGAGGGAGGAGGAGGAGGGAGGAGGAGGAGGAGGAGGAGGAGGAGGAGGAGGAGGAGGAGGAGGAGGAGGAGGAGGAGGAGGAGGAGGAGGAGGAGGAGGGGAGGAGGAGGAGGAGGAGGAGGAGGAGGAGAGAGAGGAGGACGCGCGCTCGGCGAGGCGCGGCCGCCGCTGGAAGGCACCCCGCGGCCCGAGGCACCGCCGACGGCTCGCGCAGAAAGACGCCCGAGCGCATATCGAGCCTTGAAGCTGCGTCGGCCCCCCCGTCTCCCCAGACCTTGAGCAGGGATCGACCGACCCAGCATGCCTACAGGCCGGCCATGATATGCTTTAGTTTCAAGACGATGTTACTGGATCCGATCTGTTATACCTTCAAGACCATGATATGCTATAAGTTCAAAATCATAATATGATAGACCCTCAAGACCGTGAGCATGCTGTCTACTTTTAAAACCATGATGTGTTCTTATTTCAAGAGCATGCCTACAGGCCGACCACGATAAGCTATACTTTCAACACCATGATCTGATATGTTCTGGGATCAGATACATGGTCTATGTTCGAGACGATGCTCTCATGACGTGGTGAAGAGACGTATCAACACGAAACGGACTCCACCTGCAGTGTTCTTAGAGCTCCCCGCGCAACCTGCGAAAAGTCCTAGAACATTCCTGTGGTGGGCCTAGAGCCAGGCAGTGACGCCTCGCCGCCTTTCCACTGCTTGACCCCAGACGGCGCTCCGCTCCGCGCCTGTCCATCTTCTCGAAGATGGCATCCTTCGGCGCCAGCGCGGTGCCCTCAGACCCGCCCGCGGCGACGGCGGAAGCCGTCCGGCGCCGGCGCCTGCAGGGGCCGCGGCCTTGGGCGTTGCTTCATGGGGGGGGGCGATCGACGGGCGGGGGGGAGGGGGAGATGCGTGCACCTTTCGCACCTTTCGTGCCCCTCTGGGGCCCGTGCTGGCAAAGTGAGCCTCTCCTTCGTCCCCCCACGTGCCGCCCCCCCCCCAGTACCCGTTGGTCGGAAGAAGTAGGCAGCCAAGTGGAGCAGGAAGGCGGACCAAGCAGACTTGGTCCACTGGGTCCGGCCCCCCCCCCCCAGAGAGTAACAAAACACGGCAAGAGCACGTCGGTCCTTGAGGGCAGGATAGCGCTAGAAAAAAGACTGGGAGACGCGCATCCAGAGATACGTTGAAGTCGGGCGTGTGCCCCGACAGGGGGATTTTTGGCGAAACCTACAAAATCGTCCAAACATGTTCAACAGAAGCCAAGCATGATACAACAACAACTCATCCCCATACTTATGTTTTTTTGTTGAAGAAACAAAACGCCCAAAACGGCAGATTCCTCGTGTAGGGGGGCACGCCCGACTTCAAGGCTGCGTGCTCCCCACGACCGACGGGTACGCAACGCCCCGCGGCCGAGGGCAGAGGCGCGCCCGCGCCCCTCGGGGAGGAGGGCCCCCCGGGTCCGACAGGGGGGCGCCTCTCCCGAGCGAGGGCGGGGGCGATGGGCCTGCTCTCCGCCACCGCCACCACGAGTTGGAGGGGGAGGGGGTCCTCCTCCCCCTCTTCTTCTTCTTCCTCCTC